ATAAAATGAATTGTAATGAGAACGTGCGTGAAAGCAATTAGTCAAAAAAATATGATTTAATCTATAATCTAGATAAGTCAATTCCATTGTATTACACAATGAAGAAAAAAAAATGAAGAATGCTTTGCGGAAATAGTTGTCCATGCATTCCATAATATTTTCAGATAATTCAACATTTCATAGGCGTGCCATCGGGATACGTCGGCACTTTCGGCCTGCAGATCTTTGTCCTGCCGTTGGAACCGTACACGACGTTACAGGAGAACGTGAAATATCCGCAAGTGGAACTCTTGGTATAATATCGATGCTCGTATTTTTTCGGTTCGTTGTTACCATTTATCTTGCCGGCAAAGCTATTGGTTACAGTGTAATAACTCGGTTTCGCAGCTACTGCCGGAGTAGGTCTCGTGCGCTTATTGGAAGACGTGTTTTGATTAACGGATCCTTGATTTTGTGTATGTCGGCCAACGTAATAACGTTCGTGATTGATCTGAAGCGATCTAGTCCCTGTGAGCGATTTAGTATTATTGGCATCCTTTGGAATCAAAGATACGGTTTGCGATTGAGACTTGCCGTCGCCCTGGGCAATGGTTTCGGTACCGGAAGTGGACATTACGCGGCCACGAAATCCGGGCGGGATGGTGTATCCTGATACGGATTTTCCCGGTTGTAAAGTGTCGCCCGTTCGCGGTACATTTGAGTCTTGGCTAACATGGATATTGTATTGATTTCCCTTAGCGACCTGTATCGTCTGCGATTGACTGCGGCTTTGCTGCTGGATAGTTTTACCGGATTTCTGATGATTTGGATTCGGACTCAAAAAAGTTCCCGAAAACTTCTCTTGGATCGTCAATTTTGGATCTGCTGCCGTGGGATAATCGTCGTCGTCAGCATATTCGTCGTCGTATTCGTCATACGCCGTATCATCCGTTTGCGGTTTCTCCGCTAGGATCTTCTTTTCTGTAGTATCTTTCGGATTATCCTTGGAAGTCAGAATAACAGTTTGTTTTGAAGTCGAGCTACTCTGCAAGCCTTGCTCGCGATTTTGCTCGCTTTCGTCTTGCCTATTCTCATAATTTGAGGAATTTGACGAGGGACTCGATTGCATGCTGTCAACATTTGCTGGTTGTCTCAACGATGAATCTGGTTTAAAGGGTTTGAAGAGATTGGTGTCGGTGAAGTTAAAAGGTTTTCGCGAGGATGCAGCACCAGATCCAGAACCGGCCTGCGCCGCACCAGTATACGTGATTCCGTATTGAAAAGAACCTTGCAGTTGCGATTGTGACTGACCTCGATGAGTGCCACTTTGAGCCGATGCTGTTCCGCTACCGCGGAATGGCGTCGCATTCTTCTCTACCTTCTCACTATCGTTCTTTAGGTATGGATGGAAGCCGATCTGCGCTTGACTGGAAGTACTGCCCTCGCCGTTAGCCTGAGCGTCTGCCATACCACCTTTGGAACTCGCTTGCACCTGCGAATTAGTGCCATGATTCCATCCGCTGCTTTGAGCGCCTGTCGAGGTAGCTCCAGAATCGGAATCCAGTTGAACTTGCGTCTGACTCTTTCCGTAACCGGCGATACCCTGTGCGTTGCTAGTAGCTCCTTCTTTACCACCACTGATCTCAGCCTGAGCGCTTTTGTTGGCATCGCTAGTACCAGCCTGGGCCGAAAATGTACCAGAACCACTGTAAGTGCCTGTTACCTGCGATTGAGCTATGCCCGAACCATATTTACCCTGAGCCGAGGCGCTTGCTTGAGTACCCGAGTCCACCTGTTGTACAGAACTCAACGCCTGCGATTCGGTACCGTCGTCTACCATACCTGGTGGACCCACTGGTCCTACTGATCCTCCAGTTTGCGTATAATATTGTGAAGCATCTCCAGTACCTGGAGTTCCAACTATTCCTGGATAAGGCTTCACTGGATACTGACCAGGATATCCAGGAACACCTGTCCCTCCAGTATCTATTCCAGTACCTACTCCAACTGCACCTGGATATTGACCAGGATATTGTCCAGGGATACCTGTTCCACCAGTCGTTATTTGACCTGCTGGATACTGAATGCCTCCTGGAACATCTGTTCTTCCTGGAACTCTGATACCCGTACCTGGATATTGTCCGCTTGGATAACTTGACACTTGACCACCAGGATAAGTTATTTGACCTGGATATAAAGTACCTCCGGGAGTAATTTGTGGCGCACCGCCAGGGTATATACCTGGAATAATACCACTTCCGGGATATGCACTTGGATACGTGATCTGAGTAATTGGTACACTACCTGTTCCGTCAGGAATCTTACTAGGTTGAACAGTACCAGTAGGACCTGGATAAACGACTTGACCAATTGTTGGTCGACCACCTGGATAAGTTGTTATTTGTGTACCAGTACCAGTTGTTGTAGTTGTAATCATGCCAGGAACTTGACCTGTACTTGGTAGAGATGGAATATCTTCAGGACGGAATACGACAATCTGCTGTCCACCACCAGGATAAACTCCTTGAGTTACTCCTGAAATAGCACTGCCTGGATATGTTCTTGAAGTTGTATCAGGTCGAACTTCAGGATAAATTCCAGTACCAGGAATTCTTGGATATGATCCACCTGGTAAGCCTGTTCCGGGTGCGGTACTAACTGGGTAAGTTCCAACACCAGTAACAGCAGTGGCACCTGTAGTTACTGAAGTGGTTACGATGCCACCAGGAGGATAAGTGCCTTGACCTCCTGGTTGAATACCTGGATACGTTCCAGCACCTGTTCCAACCCCTATTGTCACACCAGGTGAGACTACTCCAGGTTGGATTCCAGGATATGATCCTTGACCTGAGATTAAAGTTCCAGGTGGATATATTCTATCTCCTTCTGGACTTACAACTCCAGGACGAACACCACCAGGATATATTTCATCAACTCCTGGTGTTACAGTTCCAGGACGAATACCACCAGGATACGTTCTATCAACTCCTGGTGTCACAATTCCAGGACGAACACCACCAGGATATGTTCCATCAACTCCTGGAATCACAGTTCCAGGACGAACACCACCAGGATAGATTCCGTCAACTCCCGGTGTTACAGTTCCAGGAAGAACACCACCAGGATACGTTCCGTCAACTCCCGGTGTTACAGTTCCAGGACGAACACCACCAGGATATATTCCGTCAACTCCCGGTGTTACAGTTCCAGGACGCATACCACCAGGATAGGTTCCGTCAATTCCTGGTGTCACGGTTCCAGGACGAACATCACCAGGATAGATTCCATCAACTCCTGGTGTCACAGTTCCAGGACGAACGCCACCGGGATAAATTCCAGGGAAAATACTAGGATAAGTTCCTCCTGGAACCACTCCTGGATAAGTTATCTGTGCATCTTCTGTTTTAGGCTGTGTAATACCAGGTATTTCAGTATCTGGACGTCTACCCGGAGATGGAACCCGTATTTTATCAGGTGCTCCTTCGATACCGCGATATCCAGGACAATCTTCGCAACCAGTACCACTTGATGACATACTTTGCGCTTGACCCATACCACGACTACCACCTAAAAAGAAGTGTCAAGGTAATTACATTCATATAAATAACTGAAAAGAATATATAACAATTATAGAGTTTCTCTAATAAAATTTTTATTTATATATATTCAATTACAATCACCATAATTCCAATCTTGAATCATAAAAATTTAAAATTGTAATAATTCTATTTTTAATTAATTTTAATTTAGAAATAGAATTTAATTTAGAATTTTTTATTTTTATTTTTAATCAGATTTAATACAATTTTTAATTTTAAAAAGAATTAATATAATTATTATATAGTAATATAAAATGATTAAAATGATTAAAAGACAAGTATTTAAAAATACTTACTAACTATTGCCCGTGAAGATTGCTGTGTAGCTTCAGCTTCAGCTTTACCCTCTTTCTGTTCACCGTTAGCAAAATTCAAATATTGAGATTGCGTCTGTCCACGAAACTTCCCTCGAAACTGATTCGTCTGTCGACGTTGTCGAATTTGATTGATATTTTTATTCAACTTCTCTCGTTGTTCGAGTTGAATTTGTCGCTTTGTTCTAGCCTTCAGAGGTGTTAGAATTAGATCAGCTACACGTCTTGGCAAAATATCATTTTCGTCTATAGGAATTTCATTAAAGAAAGGATCAAGAGCTCGTGCAGATACAGGTTTTGTTGTTTGTAATAGAAGAATGTTGCGTCCGTTACAGAAATTAACAATTCTACCTCCAGCAAGTTGCCATGCCTATTTAAAATATTAAATCTAAATATTAATATTTTTCTAAAACAATATATTGTTTCTTTATTGCTATATTATTTTATGCTTTATTGCTATTGTTATTTTGTGTAATTATTAAAATGTAATTATTTAAACAACGATATTTTTATTTGATAATTCATAAATAATACAATCTCCATTATGCAAAAAATATAAATATAAACTAAATTTAAATATTATACTTGAATAATACTGCATTATTTTAATAATTTAGTTAACAATAAATTTTTAACTATAGAAAACAAAATTTTACAATTCTTAAATACGTACAGATAAATTTCTTAAAGAGAACTAGGAAATTGCAATTTAAATAATAAATAAATTTAACATATTATGTAACTTATTATTACCTCTAATTTCGTAAGGGTTATTGATGCATAGAGTATTTTGGATCTTTTATGTGATGCATTTTCCTTTTGTCTTATATCTTCAAGATAACAATCATTCCCTTTTCTGCTCTTGTATGCAACAAATTGCTGTTTTGAAAAGGTCAATTATAAATTATGTTTCATAATATTTATTTATATATCCATTTGTCTATCTATCTACTTATCTATATTTTTATATAT